AAAAATAACTAAGTTTTATATGTAACTACAGTGAAAAATCGTATTTCTCTACTGTGGAAATATTTGGTACAAGTGATCGACGGGAAGAGTACAATTAAATTTATTAATGAACAGACATCAGACTCCCTGAAATTTAAATTATATCATTTGATTGGTAAAAATCACCTCTCAAATTCAACAAAAATTATCACCAAAATCTTCTTTCATCTAATGGAACCAATCATATATATTAGGGTTAGGTAACTAATAACTAGGTTAATAACATGATTATAACTAATATTAACGTGTAAATCTATAAAATTAAAAAATAATAAAAATAATAAAATAAGCTGTTAGAATAAAAAAGTTTTTCTAACACCCAATTCTTCATTATTAATATTTTATACAATATTATTTAATTATCTAAACAATTAAGATTTATTTATCGTCTTATTTAATCACTTGTTTGAAACTTTAATTTTTAATATTGTCTATTAACTATTTATTCAACTATGCATTTTATTGAACTGTTAATGTTTTTTTTTGTTAAACCTATATTTTTATGTTTTACATTATTAAAATAAGAGCAATAAATATTTATTTAAATGTTAATCATAAATACAAAATAAATACATAATACATTAAAAAAGTGTATTAATTCGTATTACAATCTCGTTCTGTAACAAGAATAACATAGAAACCATAAACTTCATTTGATTCATTAAGGCAATAAAAATAAATAGTCACATAAAACAAAGATAGAGCTAACTTTTTTAATAAGTAAATAAAATTTAATATTTAATCGACAATTGCCTTTCCTTGTTCGGCGATTATATCTAAAACCCTATTTGGAATTATTTAGGTTGTTTAAAGTTTTCAATATAGTTTCTAATTTTTCGTCAAATTTCTTAAATTCATTTTCCAGGTTATTAATTTTTTCATCAACGTTTAAAGGTTCATTACATATTTTATTATAACTGGCATCCTTCGTTTTCAATTTAGAAGTTACAACTTTTAACGGAAAAATTTCTTCATCAATAAATGAAATTTTATCTGAATAGGATGAATTATAATAAAATTTAAATTAAACTTGATTCATATTAAATTAAAACTTTTTTGTAGGAAAAATTCACATTCTTATTATAAGTTATCACCTTTATCATCATTATCATCATTATCGTCATCATTATCATCATTATCATCATTATCGTCGTCATCATCGTCGGCATTATCATTAGCCAAATTCTCACCCATAAGACGTGCTTTTTGTTCTTCATCCTTTTCAGTTTCCGTAAGCCAGGTATGAATCATACCAGGATCAGGTATATAATAAATGTATCGAGGATCACTACTTTCATCACTAAAAGGTCTTTGCAAAACTTCGTAATCAGCAACAAGGTCAGCACGATGTTTATAAGCTACTGTACGACCTGCTTCACTTGCTTTATCAAATTCACCACTATGGAATTAAAAGAAATCAAGAGAATTGAAGTTATAAAGTTATAAACCAAAAATTTTACAACTCTTAGAGAATTTTTTATAATGCACAATTTATAATAATGATTAAACAATATACAGTACTTACTTCATAAATGCGATCAACAGATTTTGGAAAATTAACACTAATATTATACTCCCCAGTACACTCAATGCATTTACTACATAATTATCCCATTGGCTTAATTGATCCCATCGTCCATTGGTCCAAAAGAATACAGCTTCTATCGATAAAAATGGATTTGAATAGTAATTATCAAGCCAGGAAGATTTATCAATATCCTGATAAATTGTTATATTTGAGTATAAGCCTGAATTCGAAGTGTCGTTAATTTTATAAGTAGGAATAGATAATATTAAGTCATCCTGATTAATAAGAATGAACCTGGAGATGATCATAATAATAAAATGTAATAAAATATTATAAAATGTAATAAATTAAATCAATAAAGTTTAAATAATGAAAAAAAAAACTCGCTATAATTTTTATAATTATTATGATTACATAGCGTGACCAAATGCCATTACGACAATCAACATGAATGCAAAGAATGGCCAAATAGTTCTTAAAATGCTTCCAATGATATAAATGAAACGTGCTGGATCTATAAAAAATCTCATTAGTAATATCTATAAAAAAATAAAATAAAATAGTAATGATTAGTATAAAAAATAATAAAAATAAAATAAATAAAATAGTAATGATTAGCATAAAAATAATAAAAAAAAATAATAAAATATTAAAAAAAATACTTCATCAAGAAAGGGAGAAAGAGAGAAAAAAGAAGATAAAATTTTTACCAATTCAAGCCACAAAACTAAAGCTGTAAATGCTAGAAAAGAATTATATACTGATTTTCGCAGAATGAGTATTTGATGATCATTTAAAATGGCCGCTATATAATTTACTAACGGTAATAATATTGATAATAGATCAATTATATTATAAATTCTCATATATTTACGTACTCCTCTTTTTAATTGCACAATCTCTGTTACAGTTAAATACCATCCAGTATATATAAACACAAAGAGGAAAATTTTAATTATTATATTCGATTCTATTTTAAAATAAACTATTTTTGATGATCCCTTAAATGAATACGAATCAATCATAAAACCAAACGAAAAAGCATATAATAAATACAAAAGGATATAACGAATACAATATCTACGGGCGGCTTTCCATTTTAAATCTAAGACTGCCATAATTGCGGGTGTCCGATAGATTTCATATCCTTTCTCTTCATTAATAACACGAAGGAAAGGACTCATTTCTTTTTTTTTATTAATAACTTTTTTACGTGGCCAAAATATTGTATATAGAACCCAAAGAATTTTTGATTTGAGGTCTTTGGGGTTGGAATCCTTGGGGTCTTTAGAGTTAGAATCTTTGGATTTGGGATTTGCTGTAAAATCAGGTAATGGGACCATATAAACTTTACGATCATTTTGTGAAGTTTTAAACCAATAATACAATCTTAGAATACTTTTTAAAAAATAGACAATTAGTAAAAGACAAAATTAACATAACAATTCTTTATAATTAATCAATAATTATAATTACCTTATAAATGGGTCTTTTAAGAAAAACCATGAAGTATAATGGAAATTTGTTGCAAGACGGGGTTTTACTACCAAAGAATGCATCACTGATGCGTTATTTCCTCTTTTTATATCATAAGAAGTAATATGTAATGGTGGGGTATAAGCTTCAGTAATCCCAAAACATGGTTTTTTGAATAAATATTGAACAAATTCATCTTTTGAAAAATTAAAAATAAGTTTAACTCGATTTGAAAGTGACTAATTAATCAATATAATTAAACAAAGTAAAGATTTTAACTTACTTAATTTAGCTTCATATAGTAAGGGTATTGCCTTGCTTACAGTAAACATCCAACCATAATTATTATATTCTTTACTATTATCAGCATAATAATCTATTAAATATTTTAAAATTACTGTAGAATTTCCTCTTTCTTGAATACATTTAATAGCATGATGCAAATCTGACTTTGATCTTTCGGTCGTTGAACTTTTTTCATCTTCATCGACCTTCCATTTATATAATCTCGGAATATATATATTACTATTTTTTTTATTAATTTTCTTATTTAAAATATTTTTTATTAAACTTTCTTGATCACTTTTAATAAGATATTTCATAATTAAATATCTAATACTTGTTAATCTAAATATTCCATATTTCATAATATATTTTCGTACTAATTTTTGTGTACATTCAACCAAATATTTCATTTGATTGACATTCGTGAAACATGTGATAGAATGTTTCTTCTTTCCTAATACAAAAAGTGTTCGACATGCCGCTTCAAGAACATTTACATTATTTGGCCAGTGTATCGTCCTTATTTTTGGTGTGTGAAGTTCTTTAGAAGGCACAGAAACTCTTAACTCAAATTCTCGTTCCCCAACTCTTAGTTCTTGAATTTCCATCTCTTTATTTCGAGCCCGGATGTATTCTAATACTCGTTCACGTTTATTATTACTAAGATATTTCCATTTCCATACTTGTATAGTGTTATGCGATATACTAAGTTGAGTACTTTTGGAAGAATCCAAGAAAACTGATAACCGAAAATAATTTTCGTTAGAATGCCATGGTTCAACATTATTCGTAATTATTTGATCTTGTGCTAATTGGTCACAACTTTTTCCATCTATGTTATAAAAAACGTGATCATTCGTAGAATTAATATAAACTTCAGTCTTTGCCTTCTTTGAAGGGTTTCTAATTGAATCCACATCTTCATTTGGATCTAACACCGAAAAAATATCTTCACTGCCTTCACTGCCTTCACTGTCTCTAATCGCAAACACCTTCCCATGAGAATTCATTAATCTATATGTGAGATCCATTTTTAGGGGTTTCTTAGTTTTGGGATAGTCAGTTTGACGTATGGAATTTTCAAAGGTAGTAAATAAATCCCATACTACAAATATTTGATGATTCTTAGAATTTTTAAGATGCCGATCTTCTTTTTCTTCAAGGATTATTAAAAGTTTATTATCAGCATCAATAAAATTTATATCCAGAATTTTATGAATTCCACTTTGACTTTTTAATTGTTTAGTAGTTATTTCTAAACCATTTTCGATAGAGTATAATGTAATGCTGGAGGTTCCCCGACAAAATGCCAAAATTTTTTCATTTTGAGAAATCGCAAGGATAGGAGAACCTCGAATTATGTCGGAAGCTGATGAAGATTCATGACGTTTAAATAACATCTCTAGATCACCAGTGATTAAACTATACATTTCAATGATTTGATGTCGATTTTCAAAAGAATGTACCATAAAATGATTTTTAATAATACTTTTTTGTAAGATTTTAAATGAACCTTGCCATTTATCATGTGAATGACGCTTTAGTTGTTTTGAAAGTTGGTGGGGTAATTCAAATTGTTCAAATTGTTCAAATTGTTCGCATTGTTCGAGTGGTTTGAATCGCTTAATCTTGGTTGATCGTGAGAAAAGTCTTTGTTTTCTTTTTGTGTTTTTTATAGTTTCTTTAAAAATTCCCGATGCATTAACTATAATGATTACTGCTTTGTTTTTTAACGTTTGATCTCTATAATTATTACCATCATCATCATCACTATTATTATTACCATCATCATCATCACCATTATTTTTATTATCATCATCATTATTATTACCATCATCATCATCAAGAAATTTTATTACTCCTCCAATTGATTCTAAGGAAGTATATATTTCATTTCCATCAGCAGTAGAGATAACCCATGTTTGTGGATCAAATTCGTCATAACCATATTGGGTATTAACTTTGTCACCAACACCAGATTCTAAGTCATTTTTGTCGTCACCACCACCAGATTCTAAGTCATTTTCGTCGTCACCACCACCAGATTCTAAGTCATTTTCGTCGTCACCATCACCATCCGATTCTAAGTCAGTTTTGTCGTCATCATGAATGAACGTTCTACTGTCGAAACAAGATAAAGCGATAAGACGTTCGTCATCGTTTACACAATCAGATATTGCTAAAGACCAACAAGGGTTTTTAAAATCACTTTTAAATTCACCAATCGGATTACTTAGATTATTAATTCCATATAACTTGATTCCGCTCGTTTCTATTGTTTTATGAATTATTGAAGATTTATTATTAAAGATTTATCATCAAAAAAATCATCAAAGATTAAAAGAAATAATCGAGATAATAATTAATAAATAATAATAAAAATTTTACCTGGATTAAAAGTAACAATTTGTTTGCCATCTGGACTGATTGCTGTCCGATTACCGTGAAACTGAGAATTTTTCTTATCTTTCTTTGTGGATTTAGTTTTTGATTTATCCGAGGAAACCTCGTCATTTTCATTAAGAGAACTTGAATGATCTTTTTCTGACATGTTTTGCGATCATGATAGTTCAATGGAAGTAAATTCATATTCCCTTTATATATTCTTTTTTTTTTTTTATATAGTTATCTGATATATGTAGAACAACGATACATCATTTAAATCTACTCCAAATAATTAATTAATACAAATAATCAAAAAATAAAATATATTAGGCAAAATCAAGGCATGAGCATGCATAACAAACGAAGCATAGTATCTAGATTAAATCTATATCTATAGAATAAGTAATTACAATAACATACTAAAATGCCATTGATGGCGTTCATCATTTCTTTTTCCAGAAATTTGTGGCAGCAATCATATAATGTTATTTAAATACATTTTTATGAAAAAACCTGTGTAGTATTTATAAATACCTAGATTAAGTTTTACTATTTTGGAAGTTGTTATAGAACAATGCAAAACTATAAAATTTCTATCAATTTTATCAATTTTTTTTTTTTTAGCCATAATAAATCCGTCCATAACTAATTGCTTTATGTAAATTTAAATGAACAAAATACAAAAATGGACAAATTTCAACCAGCCGACCTGTACCCCATGATGATACAATAACAGGTTTAGAATTGTAATGACAATACTGAAGATAAGATGAATGTAGTGTTACTTTTGATTTATGTTTGTAATTTGGTATCCTTGCATCTTTTTTTTCGATTATGATGCAAACTTGGTAAAAGGCCAAGGAGAGAATCATTTTTGACGGGATACTACATTATGTAAAAAAAGAAAGAACGATGCGATAAAAGAGAGAAATCTGAGAAAAGAATATATAAGAGAATATGAATGTGTAAATATAAGAAAAAAGGTTTAATTATGAAATGAAATGAATTAATTTAATAGAATTTATATGCTCTTTCCAAGCTCTTTATCGTGTGCCCATATTGGATCGCAATTTTGCATCTCATCCTTTAACGCTATGGCACGACAGCAACCTTCGAGACTTCATTCTATTGATAAATTCGAGAAAGAATAGAAATATTTTAAAAATTTTCAAATATGGTTAATAATAAGATTAATATGATTGCGGATATAAAGCTAACCGATAAGATTGCTTCCGATTTTTTTTAAAAATTCGTTAATTTCGCACCTGTAAAAAATCCGAGACAAATGAATTTCATAAATCTCGGAAAATGAGATTATGATTTTCGTACGCTTGTTCTAGTGGATTATCTTGAATATTCCTACTAAAATTAATTCTTCTGAACCATAGAACTATGTGGGAAAAGTTTCGTCACTTTTAGGAATCTGCTCGAACTTTGATTTTTTAAATTCATTCCCACTCGCATAACAACATTGAATTTTTTTTATTAATATTATATTATATGGTAGTAGTTCTTGCTATAAATACAGCAAGTTAGTAATCGAAATACTTTTCATCTTTCCAAAATTTGATACCACAATAGATGCATGATTGATTCATTCTTCCAAGTTCATGTAGCACTCTTATTTTGAGTCATTTTTGACTAACTCAAGTATTAGTAGTGAAAATAATATAATTATATTATTTTATTATTTCCACTTAATTTAAATTATGATCACTTCATGATACGTGCTATTTACGAAATTGGCATAGCTAAAGTATGCATGAAATGAAAACTTAGCATACGAAATAAGTGATAATAATCTATTGCCTCTTCTGCGATATGAAATAAGTGGTAATATCATTATCCTGGGCTGCTAAATACACTTGAAATACATAATAAATACAATTTTGATATTACAAGTTATGGAGATAACCTATCGCTTCGACATGCATTCTGTGGGAGGTGGGAATAACATAACCTTGAGATATACAAAAAATTGTGGCCAGATATGCAGGTAATGAATACTTGGCGTAGCTTGAAGTTCTCCCATAACGACAAAAATCATATGCATTAAATGTGCATGTAAAAAAAACAATCTCAGCGTATGATATAAAAATTTAAGCACTTGTAGTCAAGTAACATCCATATGATCTATTATAATAGATACTTATATAAGGGAATTCATCTTCCCTACCAAACCCTTGACTATAAGTATTAAAATTTTTGATATCATATGCTGAGATTGTATTTCTTACATACTTTAACCATATGGGCTGATTTTTCTCATTTCATTAATTAAAATTTTGTGATTATTACGAATTTAGCCTGCATTGTACAGTACTACATAAATGTGATATTTCAAGTGATATTGAGGTGGCACGAAAACGTTCTAAACACGGTGTCACTATTTGGATGAAATTATCCTTGTGGGTCGCACATCGCCTTCATCCAAGATGAAAGATAATATCCTCGTGTTTATGGATGATGGTGGATAAAAGGAAATAAATGGTAAGATATAAAATAGCTGCGGAAAAAAGGAAGAAAAAAAAGAGATTCCTTTTTGCCAAAAAGAACAAGAACAAAAATAAAAATATTTTACTTGATATTTTGAACAATTTTAATTTTAGTTTTATTTTTACTTGAATATTTTGAACATTTTAATTTAGTTTTATTTTTACTTTTCATTCATAATACTTAATAATAATAATAAAATAATTTCATATAGCAATAGAGATAAGATATGCCAATGCAGTAATATATCTCTATTGTATTTCTGTAATAATTTTAATAATTAATTTAGTACAGGAGGAAGCAAAGTGATAAGATATGCCAAAGCAGTAATATATTACTATTGTTATACTTCTATACAAAATTTTAATAAATTTTAATAAACTATTTTTATATTTCTTGACAAAGTTACTTCATAAAGTCTGTTTCAAAAGTGTGCAAGTAGTTGTTAAAAATACTTTTACTCCACCTGCTCATCATACCTTCAGATATTACACGTAATTGTATTGTTTGAGAATGTCAGTAAACAGCTTTAGATCAACTGATTATCTAATCCTACTGAGTTTCGTAATATTGCTTATATTGAGTTATCATATAATTATTCTAAACTTATTGAGATTGATTTGTATAACTTTTTACATTGCTCTACACAGACTGTAATAGAATTTTGATACCTCCTGTGAGATTGGCATAAAGTATCTTTATCATTTTTTTTTTCCTTTTGGATAAATCTGACATCAGTAGATTTTAGATTTTAATAGGTGAAAATTTTTGAAAATTTACACCATGTTAAATTTCCATAATATTACAGGACCCACAAAAATCTATGGGATTCTGACAGAATTTTAATATTGATATAAATTTATAGAATTTTACATTAATGTAAATTAACGGAATTTTGCATTGACATAAATTTACAAAATTTTACATTGATGTAAATTACGGAATTTTTTATTAATGTAAATTTATAGAATTTTAATGTTAATATAAATTTTTTATAATAAAATTCTAAAAATTTCAATATAATAAATAGATTTTCTAATAGACAAAAACCTTTAACAATATCAAAAAAAATTTTTAGATGTAATATTCTGTAATTTTAACACAGTATTAAATTTTTGTAATATTTTACATAATATTTTATAATTTTAATATAGTATTAAATTTTTGTAATTTTTTGAGTGTAATATTCTATAATTTTAACATGGTAATAAATTTCTGTAATTTTTCACATAATATTCTGTAATTTTAATATAACGTTAAATTTCTGTAATTTTTTGAATATAATATTACGGAATTTTAACATTTTAATAACTTTCAAAAATTTCTATAAATTTTTGTAATATTATACAAAAAATTACAAAAATTTATCACCATGTTAAAATTACAGAATATTACATCTGAAAAAATTTCCTAATGAAGCATAAATTATATAAAATACTGTGTGAGGATATGATAACAAAAACTGTTACATTGTCTTATCTTTAGTTATAAACTTTTTGAAAACTTGTATTTTTTTTTTAGTTGAATTTGGGAAAGTGTATTTGCATTAGCATTGAGCTTTTCCAGTTTATAAATTATATTGTAGTCATACTCAAACAGTTCAAAAATTTATCAGGCAATTCTCTCCTTGAGATGTGAACGATTCTTCAACCAAGTGCAATATTATCAATATACAAATCGAATTTGGATCTATGCAAATAATATTTAGAATATTGTATGGTCCAAATGGTGACAAGTCACTTTTTCTCTACAACAGTATAGTTTTATTTGGTGGTGACTAGAAGGCGGCTAGCATAAGTAACAGGATATTCTTGATTCAAATCATCCTTATAAAAAAGTACAGCTCCAATTTTCCAGTCAGATATGTCTATGGCAAACACAAATAGTTTTGAAAAGTCAGGATATACTATTACCAGTACTGAAGTAAGACATTTTTTCAATGAATCAAAAGCCAGTTGATATTCGTTTTTCCAATCAAACATGGTATCCTTCTTAGTGAGATTATACAATAGTTTTGCGATGGTAGAAAAGTCGCGTACGTATCTCCTGTAGTAGGATGTTAATCTCAAGAAAGCACAAATGTCAATTTTGTTTTTGGAAATAGAATATCAGTAAACTTTATCTATTTTTACTAGGTCAGGAGCTATTTCTCCAATTGTTACTACATGCCTCAAAAATACCAGTTTCATTTGGAAGAAGTCACATTTCTCTAAATTTATTTTTAATCCTGTTTATTCAAAAGAGTAAAAGTAGTCTTCAGATGATTCTTATATTTTTCACAAGTTTTTGAGTAGATGATAATATCATCTATATATACTAGTACAAACTTTTATACTACTTTATAAAATACTTAGTCCATTACTCACTAAAATATCGTGGGTACATTAATGAGCTCAAATGGTATCACCAAGAATTCGTAGGTACCAAAAAAGATAGTAAAAGCAATTTTCTCCTAATCCTTAAGTGACACTTTCACTTGTTAAAATCTGGATACTAAATCAAGTGTTGAAAAGAAGGTGGAATGTTCCAAGGTATTCAGCATATCGGTTATCTTTGAAACTGAATAAGTGTCAGGTTTGATAATGGCATTAAGCTTCCTGTAGTTAACACATAATCTAAACTTTTCATTTTTCTTGTTGACTATTACTTTGGGTACTGACCATAGACTAAATA